GTACAGGGATGGGAATTGATTCGATAAGATTGATATCAGTACTGTTATCAGTTCTCTTTATCAGTCTGATTATTTATTGATTCCCTTAATGATCCATGATTAGTTTTCTTTGTGGAAAAAAAAATTCAGCATTTAAGGTTATTAAATTATCTTATTTAGTTATTCTCCATCAAAAAGAAATAAATCTGAGTAACTGCCTGTGTGGCAATAATGTCTTTGTATCATAGAATATTTATGTGTTAACATATGTGTTGTTGGTGAAGGGAAACAGAGTCACTCCTGTGCAGGGGGTCAGATATTATGTCCCTGGAACTGAAGGAACCACAATCTATAATGGATTTAAGATAGCAGTAATCTTGGAGGTGAATGATTCTAATGGTTCGAATGGTTTGGACAGTTCTTGATTCCCTTCGTCCCTCAGCTGACAGCAAATGTTTGCCTGAAGTGTCAATCTGTCAGCGTCAATGACTGAAGACACTATTGGAACCACACACAAAGATGTTATATAGCTCATATGACACTCAAAGAAAATGACCGACAGTCTTTGTTAGACCACAAGCCTTTTTTGAGAAAGTGGCACGACAGGCATCAGTTTCCTGTCTCTATCACGTTCTTTATGGTATGTACAGTAAAATACTGTTAACGTTGTGAGGAGGGATGGCCATAATTGTAGCTCTGTACATATATTCCTCCAAACTAGTGTGATGCTCAAACACACGATGGGGTCATGCGGGAACGATAGATGGCAGCCTTGGCTTCAGTTTACAGCTCCCCCACACACACACAGACACACACACCACGTCATGCTCACTGAGCGATGTGACCATACTTTACATTTGTCGATTATATACCTGGAACATTCACATTTAAAAAGTCCAAATGAATGAAGAAATTAATAAAGAAAATATTTGTAAAGGAATTCAAGTATGTAACCTCAGGAATCAACAGGATGATGATTCATACAAAGCTGATCAACAGAAGTCCTTATACATTCCGGACATGCACGCAGCATGAGGCGAGCTGTAAGCAGCAAGCAAGATAATTAATAATTTTTACTCCGAATTAAACTCAGACTTTCAATTATAAATGGATCTATTTAGTTTTTTCAGGATGCTGTTCTTAACTTGAAAATTGACTGTATGAACTGCACCTGATTTGTTGTGGGAGCTGATCACATCCCTTATTACCGATCTGTCGTTCCTCTTCACATTGTTCACACTGACCGAATAGCAAAGGAAAAAGTGCCCAGGGCTGCCAGAGGAGGCGAGCTAGTGGAGGAGATAGAGGTAGATGGAAAGGGAGGAAGAGGGGGCAGCAGAGCGATGTGGAGCTGCAGAGTGAGCGGAGGAAAGTGAGGTAAAAGAGAGCAGGAGAAAAAGAAGGACGTGCAGAATAGACGAAAGCAGCAGTGCAGGAGAAAAGAAGGATGGTGTTGACAACAGCAATAGAAGAGAGGGCAGGGTGGCAAAAGAAAGAGGAGGTCCGGGGGGGGGGGGGTTCAGAATAGAACAAAAGGTGAATAAAACACTGGAAAAGAGGAGAGAGAAGAGTGAAGAATTTTAGATGAAAACAGGAATGTAATTAAAGGAGGTGCAGAACAGAGCAGAGGAGTGTTCAAAAAGAGAGGAGGTGCAGCAGAGAGAAAGGAGATCAAGACACCAGTGAAAGTGAAAGGAAGGAAGTGAACAAGGCGTAAAAAAAAGGTCAAGGGAAGAATAAAGAGTTTAGAGTATATTAGAAAGGAGGGGAAGAGAAGAGAAGACAAAGAAGAGAGAAGACAGGTGCAGAGGAACAGAAAGGAGGTGTAGGAGGGAAGGAGGCGCTGGCTATACAGCAGTGCTCGCTCCACTAATGTGTCTGTCATGCTCCGCATATGCAACACCATGATGAGCACTGTGATTCACTACTGCTGGCCACTGTGTGTGTGTGTGTGTGTTTGTGTGTGTGTGTGTGTTAGAGAGGGGGGGCTACGTTTAACAGCAGATTTGCTCTCACATGATTCATGACGACCTGCCTCCAGGTGGTGCACAACAACACACACACACACATACACACACACACACACACTCTGAATGCTTTGAGATTTTCACATGAATTTCAAATCTTCTGATATATTTTCGGACACATACACAAACACACACACATAGAGACAGTGAATCACAGTTGCGTGGCATGAGTGAATCAGATTTTTCTGTCTTTGAGTGTGTGAGGTGTGTGTGGTCACTGCAATTATCAACACGGACACAGTACACACCACAACACACACATGGATGGGAAGTGTGTATATTGAGGAGGAAACACAATGCTGTCATCTCCCATCCACATCTGCAGCAGCAGACCCCGGGCCACCCAGCCAAGTGGCCACTAATGGAGACGTGATTGAGTGTGCGTGCGTGTGTGTGTCGAGAGTAAAAGAGAACAATGGAGTCAGTGGCTGCAGGTAGAGTAGAGAGCAGATGAGAACATTGAGGGACAAACGCAGTGAGATTCATGGGTGGTTGTGTTTTCAAAGATGTAAACGCACAGCTTTATTTTGGACAGCAGTCTGAATTACTTTAGAGAACTTTCTATAGAAGTTATCTTTCTTCTCTTTCTTTCTTCTCTCCTCGTGTTTCCTTTTCTCTGCAGTCCACCTCTTCTTTTCACAAGGATGTGAATCAGGGCTCAACGGCATCAAAAGATCAAGGTTCAGGAGCAAAATGAATTAAACTTAACTTAACTTATCAAATTCTAATGTTAAGTGGTCGGGTCCTATTTGGAGAGAATGAGTCCTTCAGTAAACAGCAGGATATGACATCAGTCGTGTGTAGCAACGGGAGAAAAAAATGCAGGAGAAACTAATGACACAAAGGATGGCTCTGCCCTTTCAGGATCAGGGGCCATTCAAAGGATGAATGAGATTTTGAAAACAAAGGTTTAATATTACAGGAAAATAGTTGAACATTTGTGAGTATGAAGTCAGGATTTTATGGGTATGGGTCATTTTGGAGGGGGAAATATCAAAAGGTCAGTCTGCTGCCTGCGTTACAATGAGGAATGTGGAGCATCTTGACAAGTTATACTTTAGCAAAGGTTCCACAAAGAACAAAATACTTCATCTTTTGGTACATTAGCTCCCAAATATCATAAGTATCAGGAGAAACAGTGAAATAGCCAAACAGGTTTATCTTATGGAGGAGGACATTTTTGTTAGCGACTTAAATCTGCGCACTTTCCGAACAAATGTTCTCAAACAATGAGATTGGTCAAGATTTTAGATCCAGAGGGAGTGAAACTCTATCGAGCACAGGTTCTCCTTGCTGCTTTTTCCTGAAGAATGTTTTTCACTTTATTCTCGCAATATTTAAGAGCGTTTCTCATAAATTGCAACATTATTCTACTTTATCCTTCTATTCTATATTACAAGTTTTTTCTTCCTCACATGGCTCTTGGATCTTTCATACAATCCTGTAAGAATGTGAATGAGCCAACATGAACAAGGCTGTTCCCCAATTTGTGTCATGATAATTCAAACCAGAATTATTAGCAGCTGAGCAGGAAATCCAAAGCTGCAGACTTTCAACGTGCAAATTTATGTTGGCACCATACAGCTTTAAGTTTACAGTTAATATCATCACAGTGGAGTAATTAACAGTGTGACCATGAGATTAGGAAAGAATGAGCCCCTGGTCACAGACAGGTAAAGCACCACCCAATCCCCTACTCCTAGGATAACACACTGCTGATTATGTGACTCTTTACATCTGTTTCTTGTTATTTTTATTCAGTTTTGGGATGTTTTACATCTTTTTGTAGACATTTTGCGTATTTTTATGATCTTTTTGCATCTGGTTTTTGACATTTTACATCTTTTTGTGGTCATTTTTGGGTCTATATGTGGTCACTCTGTAGTCGTCTCTGTTTCATACACGATAAATCAACATATATTCCTATTCTTTAACGTGGTCGAATCACATAATTGGATTCAGACTACAGCCGCAAAACAAAGCCATGTAGAGCAATTCCAAAAAGAAGAATGTCACACCATATGGATCCTAACCCTCTGTGTCATTGTTGACAGAAACTGAAAAAAAAAACTGTGACCATGCCTTATATTACTGTAAATGGCTGCATATGGTTTGTTTTGGTCTTTTATATTTTCACTATTTTCTTTCTCCCCTCTGGGAATGTAAAGCCAGCAATGCAGCGCTTTGTCTAATTGAGCGCAGTAAGTGTTTACAGAAGGAGAATGGACCTCAAATGTTCTTAAGAAGAAAAATGCTTCTTAAAAGATTCTGACATTCACCAATGTTTTCTTATCTGGGATTTGTTCTTTAGGTGAGAACAGAATCTAGACAAACACAAAACCACTCATACGCATACTTGACTTCTGATAAAATAATCACTTTTCTTTCATCTACAGATGAATAGTAAGATTTCAATTACCATAATATTTTATCATTTTATCCTAAAAAATAAATGCAAGATTTAGTGCATATTTTAGCTTTGAAAATTTCTATACATTTCTTTAATTGTGACCCGAATATTATCAGCCAATGATGGTTTCTGATTCTTCTGCAGGGATCACATGTGTTTTTGTTTACAGCACATTATTACGAAACACTCTTGAATCTCTCTGTCTATCTAAATAAGCATCGTAGTCGGCATCTGCTACAAGTTTTACACTTCTTTTTCATTTTGAGATATTTGTATTATTTTGTCAATAAAAACAATGACCAGATTAAATAGATGTTGTGCTGGAACTAAACGAAACAAAAAAGTGGCATGCAACAATATTTTCCATGAGGTATATAAAGGCAAAATCAGTGTCGTTAAAAATCCTGAAACTCAAGTGATTACGTGACCAATAACCAACAAGGACAAGCAAATATGTAGAATAGCCAATAAGAATAACCTGTTCTGTTTGAGGGCTGCAACCTGGAGGCAGGGTCCACGTCTGGCCACGCCCCAGTGATGTCACATCAGTGATGTCACAGCAGGTGCTCGTAATCAGTAACCGAGTGAGAACCCCTGCTGTGGCTCCAGAACGCAGGTTTGAACCCTCAGTTAATAGTGCAGCAGCCGCAATGTGGCCTGTATGCTTCACTATTGATTCAGCTCTTAATATTCTGCTTAGCTGAAGTTGCAGCAGCGTGAGAGAAGAACCATGTAGCTCTGTCGGAGGGTTTGGATCGAAGAGCAGAGAGAAAAAAGAAATATGAGGAAGATCTCTCCAGACAAAGACCGGAGGTAAGAACCCTCAGTAACGGCAGCGAGTTTATCACATGAAACATTTTCCTATTTATGTCAGAATCACGACTGGGACAGAGCACAAGCAGCCAGCAGCAGCAGTAAATGAGAACCAACTGTAGGGATAAATGAGGATAAGGAAAATATGTTAATAGTTCTTTTTGTGATTTATATTTAAATTAATATACCAACAGTTTCTGTGGGAGATCTTTCAAGATATATTCTGACACATAAAAAAATCCTATGAAGGGTTGAAACGCTGTGTTGGAGGTTTTGAAGCCTGGCTGAAAGAGGCTGAAAAAACATTCAAATCTCTTCATTATTTTGTGTTGGAATTTCCCTTGTTTAATACTGCAGCATTTTTCAAGAGTTCCTCCAAAACATTTTTTAAGAGTTTCACATGTGTCCCTGTTCTCCCAGTGCATCATTTGTTTTCCAGGTTTGAAACCTTGGAAATGGTGTTGTGAAAAACTGCTGCACGTACATTGGAAAAAAGTTCAGAAACTTGAACTTGATCGGGCAGATCGTTGTTTTGAATTTTTGTGGATGTACACCTGCACTTATACTGCTTTTTAGATTTTTTAAATGTTGATTTGCAGTTCTCACTTTTCCAAGATTTGCCAACATATTTGTAAGGTTGCGAATCCTGTGATTTTTGGCAGCAATGTCCCACAGCTCTGATCTGACACTTATAAACTGATAGTCTGAAAATAAGTTGGCTGAAGGGTGTTCGGATGGAAACTTTAGACCTGTTCTTGGCATTTGACTTCCAAAATCTTCTGACCCTTCTTAAAAAAGTCTCTGAACTTGCTCCATTCTGCCTCTGTCTTTCTCTATCTTCCCCTTCTCTCAGCCTTTTCCTGCACCAAGTTCGGGTCACTCTGGTGTAAAGAGAGCACTGTTCCGAAAGGCGAGGGCTGGCTTTGCGGAGAGGATTATCTGCTGGTGTTGAGCTGTGGGATTCAGTTCCTTCTAGCGTGTGAGCTGGTCAGCGAGGTGCATCACTAAGCTTGCTGTTATTGTTTTGGTAGAAGGAGGCAACGTTCTGAGGGAGAAAGGAAGAAAAGAGGAGGATGTAAAGGGAAGAGAGAAAAAGCAGGAAAGAGGAAACTTTTAAAAGGAGGGAGAATATGAGACATTCTTGAAGACTACATTTTAATGATTTACTGTATTTGGGAGGACAAAGATGAGTAACAGCAGTTGGATAGAAAATCACTGCCTCTGCAGAAACTGTCTTTGGACACAGGATGTGCTTTTTCTCACAAGTAAAACTGGGATAAGCGACCTGAGGAAAAAGCTCAGTCATCTCATTTGAGCAGCAAACACACAGTCAGACACAGAACATGAACATGACTTCATATGGAGACAACTCTGCTCTGTAGATCAGTTAATTATCTTGTCATGCATTTGTCAGCAAGTGTCTTTATGATGATTCACTGACTCTAAAGCAGGTTATTTCCACAGATAAAGAAAAACTGACTCAATCTCCATGAAGAAAAATGATATACGACAAGTTCACACAATTATGGCAGATTTGAAATTCTCTGACTTGTTGCATGTTTAATTAATAGTGATTGCCAAAGTTTTCTACTTGCTCTCTGAAATAATGGGACTCTATAAAGTTCTGTAGGGTTTTGTTCTGAAATCTGATGCCAAAATTCCTACAAGGCCTGAGCCTATCGGTCCGAATCACAAAGTAGATTATGGTGTCTCATTTCAGTGCCTGAGCTCTGTACTGAAATAGTTACAGGCAAAGTAAACATCCTTACACCTGCCGAGTTAACATGACGTTTAATTCCGTCAGGCACTGGCAATACACACTCTACATGCCTCTGGCAGCATGTGAAGTTAGTCTACAGTTAGCTCGTAGCTAACTCAATCTCGAGTCGCCACGACAACAAACGCCTAAAGCGAAACAGTCGAAAGTTGGGCTGCACTTCAGGAGAAAGGATTCAGACACTGGGAAGTGCAGCAAAACAATTCTGTGTGAAGGGACGAACGTGTCAATGATTCCATCAATGAAGGACCTGATGACACACAGGATACAGTAGAAAGCAGGGGGATACATCTGGGTTTGTTTGACCTCATGCCAAGCACATCAGGCAGTGATGGCGTCCCAGGCCCCTGCGATGGGGATGGTTGATGATGTGATTGGAGCTGGAGTATTTGCATTGAAATTGTTATTTCGTGTTAAGTTTAGTAAAGTTTTTATTCATGTGATTTAGTTTTTTCCTGTTTTTGGTTGTTGGTGGGAATGAAGTGTGGCAGACTGTCACAGTTTGAATTCTCATCAACGATATGTTATTTTTAGGCTTAAATGTATTTTCTTGTTTCCTGTTTTAACACCCATGAAGTGTGTGTTGGGCTTAGTTTGCTGCCGAAGCACAGGTGACCTTCAATCAATACTGTGCCTGAATGCATCCTGTGTGGACACACGTGGAGCAGTGGAGCTACTGCTGCTGCTCTGCTAACATGCTGCTCACGCTAAACCTCCCGTGTAGACACAGTGTGTAATTCTGTTTTATAACTGTGTGGTATGTGTGTGGTATGTATGTGTGTAAGTCCAATACACCTTTTCAGCTAATCATAAAAAAATGTGTTCAAAACTAATACAGTTTAATCAAAATAAATTGAAATCAAAGTCGGGTTGCAAAATTCCCTCTGTACTGTCAGTCACCTACTCAACAGACAGGACTGTGATTAAAGTTATATTTTAGCCTCTGGTAAAATACTAAAGGTCTGTCAACATCCAAGCTTATATTTTACAAATTGGCCACCAATCAAGCAATTGGAAGAAATACATTAGAAAAAAATGTCCCATCAAAATCTCTTTTTAATGGCATTTATGTGCACTTAATGTTAACTGACTGGCTGGCTGGCTGGATTGCTGGTTTGACTGCAGGTTGATTCCTTTTCCCATCTCCCATCTCTCCAGCCTGTCAGCATTTTGACTGGGGCTGCTTCAGGTACTGTACTCTGCTGACACTGATGGTTGCACAGTGCATATCCCATTCACTCAAGCTGAAAACTCAACCTGGCATTTTCCTGGAGCTGGATGGGAGACAGGGGAGACGGAGCACTCTCGCACCGACAGGCAGCTCCAGAGCCTTACTTATGATACAGTCATATCAAGGAAACCAGTGGCCGTGAAAAATAGTGAGGAGTTAATGCTGCTTAGAAACATTGCAGCAGAATCTATTCTCCATCTTCTCTCTGAACCACCAGTGTCCCTTTAGCATCAGAGAATATGCTAGTTTTCATTCACACTAAGCACAGCTTTCGGGTTCAAGGTCAAGGTAAACTGTATCATCCCTCAAGGGGAAATTCATGTGGTCATACACGTCTCAGTTAAAACACAGAGGGACACCATGCATGCACACACAAATATCCATCTGAAGCAATAGAACTACCAACAATATAAAATGTGCAAAAAGAGAATGCTTTGAGTAAGATATACAATCTTAACATATCACATCCAGTTTCATTTAAAATGTACCTAACACAGAGATATACAGAGAATAGAGTACAGTGTACACATTAAGAGTACAATATAATCCAAATAACCAGACATCATAAAAATGTGCTGCAGACACTCTCGCTCAACTAATCCACCTTCAATCCTGGTGGAAGGAATTATTGTCTAAAATCTATGACCATCTGTTTCGTTTTCTTAACATTGACCTCAAGAAAATGATCCGAGCATCACTGACTAAAACCCTGAATTTCACTGTCAGAGTGAATACAATGTAGTCCAAGAAAGGCTAAGCTTCCCCTTTCTGAGTAACACTAAACTAGGAAAGCCATTTCCCCTCTAAAACTTGAAGCTCAATGTGATCAACCCTCTATCACCAGAAATGAAACTATGACAATGGTGATCACACTGACTAGCCTCATAAAATCAAGCAAAGGAAGTTTCCCACATCATACCACAGACGTAAGAAAATAAAAACACTTCACAACTGAGTCCACACAACTCCCACTAACCAACTGTGTGAGGAATAAATATTGTTTTAGAGTAAATACAGCCACACTGGTGGATCTGTTGGGTACAGTTGGTTGTAATGTGAAAGCCAACATCAGCATGCTAACGCAATGATAATGTTGGCAGGCTGGTATTGCGAGGAAAATGTTTATAATGTTCACCATCACCAATATGCCACCACATGATCTCAGGGATAAACAAACTAATCAGGGGTCATCCTTTAGTGGGAATAAATGTCTTGAAAATGTTTCATATTAATCCTGATTTTAGTTGAGGGACTTTCAGCCAACCAGCTGTATATGGGGTAAATGGTAAGAATATCATCCAAATAGTTTCTCCCTTTTCTTTTATGAATTTCTTGCCTCTCAAAATGTCACTTTTTGTATGTGCCTGGGTTGAGCAACTATCAAGTATTTTACAACTGAGAATAAAATGAGTTCTAAATGGCAGCTTGATGTATTTAGGGGCATGTCTCAGAGATTGACAAGTACATCAAACTTTTGAAATTCAGCTCTTCATGGGGTCCCACTGTTTCTGACTTTTGGACAGTTGCACGTGTCTTCTGACCCTTTCATCTCCTTTCTAGCTCTCCTCTTTTTATTCATCCACACCCCATGTTAATCTCATTTCCCTTTCGGTCCCGGCAATGCCCTCATTTCACCCCGTATCTTCTCTCTTCTCATGTTTTACTCTTCCAATGTTTTTTCTTCTACAACATCCCCCTACAGTATTCCTCTCCTGTGTTCTTCTTCCAGCCCTCCATCTCTTGGGTGTTAATCACAGCCATCACCATCTCGCCATGGGGGATATCTCCATCACTACTCCTCACTTCACATTGAATAAATGCAGGATGGCGGAGAGGGATGGGAGAATTTGAGCTGCCAAGAATGCATAGTCAGGAAGATGGTTTAGAGAGGAAGAGGTAAATAAATTCTAGGCGTTAAGTATTTACATCCAGGTTGAATAGAGCAGATTCAACTTGGAAACAAAAGCATTTTGTTTTATGATAACACCCAAT